CCTCTGATGCAAATGATTTAGTTTCTTTACATAATCCTTTCAAAACTTGTTCAAATTCTGATTCTGTAGTATTAGTTATCAAAATATCTCTTAAATGTTCTACTAGTTGTTCACATAATTTACATGGAAGATCATCATTTACATCAACCATACCCACACTTGAAAGTGGTCTGATTTCTACCTTCAAAGTCTAAAATTTTAGTTTTTATAATAAATTCAATTGTAATATTTGTAAGTTGTTGCATCAGACTCATAAAGTTGCATTATACACTTTGTCATAGAACTTACTTTATCAGCATCTTCATGTTTGTGGAACTTAGCACTACACTGACCAGACAAGTGACAAATACTTTCAGCATTGAAATTCTCTTGTAAGTGAGTATATATTGTATCAAAGTAAGTTAAAATTGTAGCTGAACAGGCATCTGTAAAAGTACTGAGTTCTGCACACAAATTAAGCATTTGTTGTAACATTTTATCACGAGGAGTGTTTTTTAGTTTGTGTTCCATATGTGTTGCAACTGTGTAACATTTTGAACATTCATCAGGTTCAAGTTCATCTTTTTCCAAAGAATAAGATTTTAATTCTTCCATCTAAAATGTAAAATATTAAAAAAAAAAAATGTGAAGTTTAACACAAATAATACTTAGAAGTATTGAGAATAAGTACTGAGATAAAAAAATATTTGAAATTTAAATTTATTAAGAATTATACATAGTATTATTTCATCATTTTCATAACTATCAAATTACATCACGACACATAAAATAAACAATATAATTGTTTCACACTTCAAAGAATATGATATTCACAAATTATTAATTTTGAAGTTCTATCTAATTACCTTATGTTCAGAATGTTCATGTGCCATTAATAGTTTATCTATATGAGCAGAATTACAAAGTCCCGCAACAGAACAAACAACAGATGGATTCATTTGTGATGCCAATGTCTCAACAAGATCAGGAATAAACTGATCCACAATTGTTATGCATTCTTGTACAATAGGCTTTATATGAATTAATTTACAACTTCCTTCAAAAACAGCTTTCAAATCCTCTTGAGTTTGATTGCTTTCCAATTGATCACGGGCCTGTTGAACCATGTCTTCACAAACATGGCAAACATCGTCATTATCCTTTGGCACTTTCATATCCTGCCATACTGTTTTAATACAATGTTTGGTTGCATTGCATCCAGATGCAGTTCTATATTATATAAAATGTAATATCTTAATATTGCTTTAATTTATGAGCACGTATTATATG